AGGTTCTACTGAGCTAGTTTTTGGATGGCATTCATGATTGAAATGCTGGATTCATGATTGAATCACCTCAATCGCCCTGAACCATTTTTGTTTGTTTTGAGGGGGCCTGGGAATCTATTTGGCCATTCAGCAGTCATTTAAAAAAAAAACTAGCACAGTAGAACCTAGTACATGATGTACGAGCAAAAGTTCATAACTTCAAATCCAAGTTAAGAACTTGAAATTATTACTTTTTTCTCTCTTTTGCGACCGTATTCAATTGTTACGAAACGCGTAGTAAGAACTTCAGTGGAACTTCCTAGTAGCTACGAACACTCGTACCTGAACATTGCAGTAAATAGGAAATTCTTGTACTACTGTACGGTAGGTTCGACCGTTGACAATGCAATGATGGTAAAGGAAGAAGATGATACAGTACGAAGTATCGTACGTTACGTTCGGTAAGTGGTGTCGTACACGGGACTTTTCAGCACGGTAGTACCGTACGGTTGTATCGTACCGTATCGGATCAAATTTTTCCTGCAAACTGCAAATCGACAGTCACAACAAGGTAGACTACACCCCAAGGTAAAAGAGTAGAAGAGGAATCTGCATTGGGCCGAAACTACTCTTTTAATCCTTATGAAAGGATCAACATTACCTTCTTGGATACCGAGTCACTTGTCGTAGCACTGTTTTCGATCCCTCACGCACCAATCAACAGCGACAGACAACAAGTTCGCGTTCCTTCCACAAAAAAGGATTTGCTCCGATCTTTCCTTTTCAATAGTGTCACTCCCATCGTTGAACCGGCAACGCAGAGCATTTAATCGTCATCATGGCGGGCCTGAAATCACAACTGTCATCCTTAATGCCCATATCCGAAGCATGTGATATTCTGGGAGAAGATCGTGTGAAGAGGATCGTATCTGGCATTTTTATGTTCCAAACAAACCAACAGTCTCCCAACCGGTCCTACACGAAGGAACAACTTCGAAATTTGGAAGAAGCATTTGCCGAGAAGGCCGATGTCTTAGTCCAAGCTATGATGTTCGTTCCTGGGAAGGTCTTAGCGAAAAAGAGCGGTGGTGTGCAACAGGCCATGATGCTAATGAAAGCTATGGACATGTCGTCTTCGGCACTCTCTAGTACCGACGGGGCAGATCAGATCCCAGCCCCTATTCGCAACTCATGGAAATCTTTGTTGACAACTCGTTCCTTAATGCTTGATAAGGCTACTATTATCAGATTTTTGGTACCTTCTTGTGCTCAGCCTCACACAGGACCGGGGGGTCATATGGGTCTCTTTGATTGTTTGGTCTACGCTGTGCAAATTAAGCCGTCTTTGACAACAACATCTACGACATCGGCATCGACCCCACTGGTCACTATACCTGATATAATCATATTTTTTGCGGTTTGTCAGAAATATTGGGATTTGCAGGGTCAAAGTGACCCTGATGTCATCCCAAGCTTTTCGGGTGACGATCCAGCCATTAAAAACATGTCTCAGTTGATGTTTTTAGTCTACGATGGCTACCGAAAAAATTCTGTGATTGGTCGTGATACCATTCATCGATTCATGTCCGACGTATATGGAGATGAATCCTTTAAGACCTCTGCAGCAAAGGACGTCTTGGGCAAGATGTTCACGAATCCAAACAGCCCTCTGACGGGGAGGGAATTCCGAGCCGGAATATCCCAAACAATGTCTTACACCCCAACGCCGTCGCATTTTTTACTCGATTGGATGGCCACCTTAGCGCAAGCAATAATGCCCCCCCATTTGAGTAAAAGTTCAAACGACAATGACGACGACACAGAAGGTGCCGACATTGGCAGAAACTTACCGGATTCTGCTGCCGTCCTATTGCAAAAGATGGACAAACAACGACGGTGGCTACCTGAAATATGCGAGAAATATTTCTTGGCTGAGTTCAGGCTCTACGAGATCAAACGACGATTTCATTCTCTTGTGGAGTCCAATACGAATATAATCAGGGGTGATCCGATGCGCGCAGCTGTCAATCAAGACGGTGGAAACAGCAATGGAACTGCGGACGGCAGGGATAGAGGAAATGTCAGACGTAAGAGTGGTGTAAACTCGAATGCACCAAAGCACGTCATACCAGCTCATTCTTTTTTAAGGAAAGTCTGTCATCCCAGTGAAGAGATGGGTCACGGTGGGTTTTTACCAAAAGAAATTGCCGAACGAATCTTCGAATCCGTTGCAAGATCACTCTCGTCTCTTGGTGAATCTGACGGCGTGGGTGACGAATCAAAAGAAGACCCTGAAATGGGTACATGCTATTGGGACTTGTGTCATGTGTTGCAGTTTGGTGGAATGGCTCTGCGATCGAAAGACAAGGATGAATCACTGGTCAAATGGATAATGCAGCTATTTGGCAACCGAGGACAAAATACTTTGAATCGAATGGAACTGGGAGATTTGATGGTTTGTTTATGCAAGCACGCAGACTTTCGGAAACGAGTGGACCGACCAAAGATGGACATTGCCGACGACAGCGACAACGAAGAAGAAGAGAATACCGATGGTCCCATCGAGATGATGGTGAATACACTTTCGGCATTGGACCTGGCATTGGTACCACAATCATTTGCTAGAACCAAATCCGAGTACTCTTCGAAGGTCCCCGTGAACGAATTAGTGGATCACTTCTTAGAAACAGTAGAAGCCAAGGAGGATATTGTCACCGAAGAACAATTCTTAAGATGGTACAATGAGACCGAGCAATACTCGCGACAAAGACTTGGGCCTTTGATCGTTGACATTCGTTTGATCGCAGGTGTGATCTTTGGAGTCCCCCCAAAGCTAGCTAGTCTAGAATATTTACTGGTAAAGGACATCCAAGAACGCCATCGAAAGAGATACCCGCCGACTGATGTAAGCCGACGAGGACCTAGAGGAACTATTTGGTATCTCTTGGATGCTACATGGTATAAAGCTTGGTCCGAACTTATAAATGTTGTTCGCAATACTCAGGAAGACTGCGAAGACCTTCGCGATATGTCCAGCACTTCTTCCAGTCCCCGAAGGCTTGGGCAAATCAATAACACAAAGTTGCTGAGGGAAAATGGAAGCTTGGCTCTACGAACGAGTATCAAGTGGCAACATGATTACGAGATCCTTCCACCTCTAGGTTGGTCCGCTTTGCAAGCATGGTACGACGGAGGCCCACCAGTCAGTAGGACGGTCGTACCATACAATAGTGGGACGTCTAGTTCTGGTATCCCCAATAGCCGTGGAAGGCAATCTTCTTTACGTACGGACAACGAAATTGAACTATATCCATTATTCGTCACGATGTTCTTATGCGACTCTAGTTCACGTGGCGAAGCTCGTCCCTTTCAACAGGGTGTCCCTGTGAGTCGAGTAACCCCGATACGAATGTTACTGATCCAGCTTTGCAAAGAGATGGACGCCGATCCAAACATGTGCCGTCTGTGGGTGATGGAGCCATCGGGTGATCCAGATCAGAATGAAAATAATGATTGGTTGCTAAATGTTGATTTAAATATTGATGAGCAGCGAAAGAACCGAGTGGGTGTCAATCAGAATGGTACTTCGAACATCACACTTCTGCTCGAATTGAAAAATGAAGAGACAGATAAATGGCCTCGCGGGATCGATGGGAAAAATTGGATGTTTAGGAAGGGGGATTCTAATACGATGGAAACAGGTGATGGTATCGTTGGTTTGTACAACATGGGAAACACTTGCTACTTGAATTCATCCATTCAATGTCTTAGTCATACACCTATATTTCGAGATTACTTCACATCCAAGTGCTACCTAAACGATATAAACACTACAAATCCGCTTGGTCATGAAGGTCAACTGGCTCAAGTGAGTGCAGTGCTCATCAACAGTATTTGGAAGAGATTTAACCAACAGCAACCGGTACATCAACCAAAACGCATCATAGCTCCAGGATCATACTTCCCAGTGAATGCACCAGCTTTGACGCCAAAAACTTTAAAAGAATCGCTTGGGAAATTTAACGAGCATTTTGCCGGAAACGAGCAACACGATGCGCAGGAATTGCTAGCTTTCCTACTAGGTGGTCTCTCAGAGGATTTGAATAGGATTCAAGTTAAGCCTTACATTGAAGCACCTGATTCCGATGGACGCCCTGATAGCGAGCTAGCAGATATTTGGTGGGCGAATCATTTAAAACGAGAAATGTCGATCGTTGTGGCGATGTTCACCGGGCAGTATAAGAGTCTTTTGAAATGCAAGACCTGCAAGTACGAAAGTGCTAGATTCGAACCATTTTCCTTCCTACAGCTACCACTACCTGAAGATGATACAATCCCAGTTTCTMTAATTTATTACTCAAGCGAACCAAGTGTTGGGATTACAAAATATTCCGTTCGTGTTCATAACAATGGTACCCTTTATGATGTGCTGATTAGCCTGGCGAAGGTGATTCATTCTGACAAGCAAGCTAGTGATAGCAACATATCAGATGATTCAGGAAAATTCTCTCATATTGAAAAAAGTGAAGCTGAAGAAGAAATTGCCAAACAAAAGAGCGCGTATGCAAAAATTGCTCAGAACATGGCCATCGTCGACATGAGGGAAGGTTACATCTTCAAGATAGCACCGAACGTTTGGCGATTGCCAGACTTGCAAAACAAAGATACTGGTGAATTGCCAATGCTGCATGTTTACGGATTAGAGCCGCTGCCTGAAACGTCAGATATCGATTGTCAAGAAGAAGATGAAGAGGAAATCAAGGAAAAGACTCACGAAGAGGACAGTAAAAGTAGTGAGGATACCGCAGAAAATTGCGCTTTCTTAGCATTTGCTCAGAGGAGATCAGAATTACTTTCAAAGGAACTTATTCATCCTTTGACTCATCAAGTTTTTGGAATACCTCTTTTATTACGAGTGGCCGACCTCGATTGTAAGACGGGAAGTGAGGTTTATGACCTTGTAGCAAAACATCTTAAACCTTTGGTTCCTTCCGGTGCACTCAAGTTTTTGACAAACCCAGAACCTATTTTACCTGACTGCGAAGTCGAGTCGAGTTCCACAGGGGCAGAGGACGAAAAGTCAAAAGACGAAATTCGTGAAAATCTGGAAAAAGCGACCTCAGATACTGAAGAAGTTTCGGCTGGAATGTTGCCACGCTATGGTTTCCGTTTGCGCCTGGCATCAAGAGAAGGACGCCGATGTTCTATATGCCCGTGGTACGAGTGCTGCATTGGTTGCTTGGTACCGGATGATAGTAAACCAACCGTCGTTGCGAATGGCGACAGCATTGTGATCGACTGGCATTTCGCTGTTGATGTTGCCACAGCGGGATTTGGGATACGTGCCAACCAAGCCGATCCTTCTTTCTCTAGAAAACCTGACAACCTAGCGGGGGTTGTTATCAAAGATCACATTTCGTGTGGTGTTGGTTTAAAAAAGGGCCAAGGCGACGTCATTACGCTGGAAGATTGTTTGGATGCATTTGCCGAGGAAGAAAAGATTCCGGAAGCTTATTGCTCAAAGTGCAAGGATTTCAAAATCCAGACGAAAAGGATGAGTCTCTGGAGACTTCCACCCGTGGTCATTATTCAATTAAAGCGCTTTCAATTTACGCAGCACATGAGACGAAAACTTCGTGATTTCGTGCAATTTCCTGTGGAAGGCCTGGACCTTTCTAGGATTATGGCTACTGATGGCGCCACAGGATCACCAGAGAAAAAGAAAACGAGCAATCAAAGTTCGAAAAGTGAAAAGGCTCACAGCCAAGAAGAGAAAAAAGCTTTTGCTTCCGACGAAACAACCGAGGAGATTTCGTCCCACATTAATGATGACAATGGTCGTGGCGAGAAACTTTACGATCTTTATGGAGTAGTGCACCACCAAGGTGCACTTTCGGGAGGTCACTACGTTGCTTCTTTGAAATCAGATCTTGACGGCCAGTGGCGACTCTTTAACGATGCTCAGGTTTACGAAATTCACAGCAGGGACGTTGTCGACTCGTCTGCATACATTTTGTTTTACATCAGAAGAGATGTGGCCAGTCAGAAACTTTCTGACTTTTGGGATGTGCGTAAGCGAGTGGGCGAAGGGCTAACAGAGGAAGAAATGGACGAATTGATGAAGGGAGGATCAGACAGATGTGTCATTAGTTAGTTTATCTATTTTAAGCTCGTTTTTACGTTTGGTTCACTCTAATCTGGGGGACAACAATCGTATTCTAGACTTGGTGGAAGTGTGGCGATTGCCACGACGACGTTGTGCTCGTATCACTTCGTCATCCATGCCGGAATTGTTGAACCACGGCCTCGGCCTCGGCCCCGCCCTCCTCTATTCGTTGCGTGAGCTTCCGCACCAATACCAAAATGAAATGTTGTAGGCACTGGCGGTCCACCAGCCGAAGGAGACGGGGTTTCTACCAACTCATCGTTGTCATAGTTCTCATTGTAGAAATAATCGTCCAAGCAATCGGCTGCCACATCAGCGGCTTCTTCCATTTGTGAATCGCAGACTTGTTCCAAAGCACAAGGCAATTCTTCTTCTTCCAAGATTCGTTGTAAATTTTGGTGATCATTTTCGCGTTGGAACAACAAACTTATAACATGCACTCCCGCGAGAACAGCATCGCTATCATTTGAATTGATTAGGCGGACGAGTGATCGCAATGTCGATCTTGGAAGATTTAGAGCAAAAGGCAACTGAACAGGGGATGACTGTGTCGGGTGATTGCTCCAGAGGGAATTCTGGGGCAGTTCCTGCGGACCACCAGGACCTGGTGGCACATCCAAAGCGTTCCACAAGGAAGACGCAAATTCTCGCTCTTCTTCTAGCGTCATGGTTCCCATTGATCCCCCAATTTCTTCGTTAACGTCCCCAAGGCGATTTATCAAGGCAGGAATCAAAGCTGGTGCGGCAACGGTCGTAGAGGGATGGGCTTCTGTTCCGACATCGACGAGAAGGCATCCGGCGACCCATGCGGCTTTCGCCAGGATTGGATTCCGAGACGGAGTCGTCGTCAGTATGTGCTGTAAAAGTGGGACCAGAGCAGGTGCAGTCTTGGTCAGCAATGGTGCTACTAACGTCAAGTGGCATGAAATATTTCCCAGCGCTTGTACAAGCGGCAAGATCTGATCGGTCTGCAATGGGTTTTGAACAGACTCGACGATGGCTGAAAGAAAGGGAGAGTGCTCCGGAGTGGAATGTTGGGCAGAAAGATATTGCACCGCGTCTTCTTCCCTTGCCGTCAACGATGCAATCATCCACGCCGTCTGAGAAACGAGGCACGGTTCTCTGAGCCATGACGCCAAGAGCGAAGCTGACAAAAGGTTTTCCGAACAGTAGGTCCTCGCGTATGAAAGAGGATCATTCCGAATCATGTTCGTTAGCGTCCAAGCTGCTGTTGGAGTAGCKGGTGACACTGATTGAACGAGGCCGGCTACCATTGACGACTTAAAATCTTTCGATATAGCCTGGAAGACGTTCTGAGCTGCGCCATCATCTCCCACCAAGTTTCCTAGAACGAGGCTTACCAGCTCGGGTTCCCGTGAAGATGCGAGTCCTTGGACGAAGATATCCAACCAAGAAGGTGCTTTCTCAATTGATCGGGCAGTAGTTATCGTTGGAGAAGACGATGACGAAACTATCAATTCCGACCACGTCGAAGGGTGGCGCCCGTAATATTCCACAGAAGGTGTCATCGATGATTCCATGGCATCACCGGAAGAAATTGACGTCAGATGCACAAGAATCTTCAGGATGCTTTGAAACGAAATTGGATTGCTTTGATTGGGAAAAATGTCAATTGCTTGTTGCCGCAGGCAGTCCAGAAATCTGAGCGCGAGATCTTCATCGTTTGCCTCCAATAGGACGAGAGGGTCTTCGGCGCTTCGAACGGCGGTGGAGGTAATTTTTGTTTTCGCAACGAAATTGTCCACACTCGGAAGCAATCGTTCCGGAGTCTGGCAGTATGCTATCAGCAGGTTTCTGAACTCTGCAACGCATAAATTCAATGGTCTGGCGGAATTGACAACATCAACACCGCCACACTGTAAACCTCTTCTCTTCTGTATGTATTTGCTTTTCTTTTGCTTTCGTATCCGACTTGTGAGTTCTTGCCTTCTTTGGGTCATACGAGACCGTCTTTCCACTGCCTCCCGCTGCTGTGGGGTAAGGCGAAGGTTCGCGGAATCTTGTGTCGGCATACTTGTGAATTTTCGTGGATTAGATTTGAAATTGGGGCTGTTGGTTTGTGATGGTTTTGTTGAGGTTGATGAATGAACGATACCGATAGGGTTTTCCGAAACGAAAGCTTGGACCAACAAGAAAACTCTCCTCATGAGGCTTCCAGCTTTTAATGTTAGTCCCACACAAATTTTTGGCAATACCCGTACAAATGCTAGTAGAAAATTTTAGCTCATTTTTACAGGTAAAATCTGTTTTATTAATATTAACTGTCAATGCAATAAAAACCATTAAAAATTGTCACTCCACCTCTGAAAAAATTCTGGCCCAGAGAATGGCTGAGGGCCGGGCCAGGATTTATTCAGAAACTGAACCCATTTCACCCAGCATTCTTGTTGCTGCTTGTTTGCCTGATTTTTTCAGATTGTGAAGAATGCCACCACCAGCATTATTTCAAAACTGGGAGGGTGCTCCTCCTCCACATCAGTGTCCTCTATATCAGCATACTCTGCTGTATCAGCAGCATCCTCGGTATCAGTGTCATTCTTATCAGCAGTGTTCTCTGTAACAGCAGGAGGAGTGTCCTCCATATCAGCAGCGTCCTCCGTATCATCAGCATCCTCGTCCACATTCTAGTAGCAGTGTCCTCTGTATCAGCATACTAACTATATGTCATATCAGTGTACTCCTCCATATCATATCAGTATCCTCTGTATCAGTTCTTTAGTCCTCTGTATCAGTGGCTCTTCTGTAGTATCATATCAGCATCCTCATATTCCTCTCACTAGTAGTAGTACTACTAGTGCTGGTGTCCGTAGGATATCATACCCACGGAGCGGCTCTTCCATATCATATCAGCATACTACTACTCCATATCAGTGTACTATATACTACTAGTACTAGTATCAGCAGCACACTCTTATGTGTCAGTGTCCTTCATGTCAACAAACTCTGTATCCCATAGTACTCCACCATATCACATATTCTGTACTCTAGTGCAAGCAAACTCCACATTGCACACTCCGTATCAGCAAACTCCGTACCGCATATTCTGCATACTCCATCATATTAGTAAGACGCTCATCTGCATTGGTGTTGGTTGATTGGTGGTGACATAGCACATTAATCCTTTATAAGCAGATTGGTTCGTGATTCCTCATCTATAATACTGACTGTGCCCTCCATATCAGCGTATCAGTGTCTCATAAATTGTTTGATTGTTGCTTTACAAAATTATCCAGTGGATCAAAGATTACATTCCTCATTGATTAAACACTGATTGACTTGAAGAAATGGAAGTCCTTTGAGTACCTGCAAATGCTGCCCTTGTGGTGACATATCCCAATTCTGTGATGAAGATCATCATCACGTCCATGATGAATATGCTCTCCTCCTGCCATCACTGCCTGGTCAGTAGACATATTAGCTTGGTACTAGTACACCCTTCAGACTCACTTGAGTGTCTGCAAAGAAGACAAATTTTGCGCACGCCAGTCCCTTGAGTATAGGAAGATTGGTATGCTATTCCCTTGAGTAGGAGACAGTTAACAGGCATTTTTCTTGAGTATGAAGCCTCTGCACACCAGTTCATTGAGTATCAAAGCCTCTGCACACCAGTCCCTTGTTGAGTATCTGCAAATGCAATGACCATTTGCTTGAGTATTGAAGCCTCCACACACCATCCCATGAGTATCCACAAAAGCAAATCATCTAGTACATGCTGGTCCGTTGAGTATCCAAAAATTCAACTTGCTTGAGCATGAGACAGTTAATTACCGTTTTGCTTGAGTATGGATGGTCCTGGATAGTCCGCATGCTGGTCCCTTGAGTATCCACAAACGCAAACACAAATTGCTGCTTGAGTATGAATGAACATTTGCAGATGGGACTGTTTTGCTTTGTTTTTTGTTCTTTTAGTGCTCTTTTGCTTGTTATTTTAGTATGCACAGTGGTGTATTGTACACCATGTGTACTAGAATCAGAAGATAAGCAGATTCATGTGTTGGTGACTTCAAGCTGCATGGTTGAAAAATGAGTTTAGCAACAACTTGCACTATTGTTCTCAATCAGAAGGGAATATATGTGCGTTGACTACTGTACTACAGTACTATTACAATACGTATTTGAAGAGACCATCCCCGATCCCCCCCCCTTCAAATGTATGATTACTTCTACTAGTAGATATATCAGAATTTACAAATGAAAACGATTTCGAGTCATTTTTTCTTCTACCAACATTGTAGAGGCACCTACCTATGTCACCCTCTTTTGCCAAAATGTTGAAATACCAAAGACTCAAAATTCCCAAAAAGATAGTATCTGAGTCCTTTTAAAATTTATTCCCATTGTTCTAATTGTGCCATGGTACAAGCACCTACTATGGTGGAACCTACATTGAGTCGCCTCCTATTTAGAATTTTAGTACATTTACAGTAGTAGGTGCAAAATGCAACTGAAATTGCATTTTCATTATTGCCTCAATGGCAACAAAAATTCCAACTACATAGTACTGTGAAGCATACCCCTACTTTTTGAGACTGTATTGCTTATTTTGTACAGTAATTTTCTACAGCCTATGGTACATGATTTTTGCCTAGCAGTCATTTTTGGTAGCTTTTTTAAGGTGCAAACTAGTAATTTTTGATCACTTTTCTTCTTTCCCTTCTTGTCTTATAAAAATACAGAGGAAAGATGCTGATGCACAGGAGCCTCTGATGTGGAGGAGCTGCTGATACACAGGAGCCACTAATACAGAGGATGCTGATACAGAGGACAAGGAGCCAATGGTGATAAGGAAGATACTGATACAGATGACACTCCCTGATACAGGGAGAGAGAATGTCCTGATACTAGTACTATGGAGGAGCAGATGACCCAAGTTGGTTGCTGATACAGAGGATACTGAGATGGAGGGGTTGCTGATACAGAGGAGTTGTTGCTATGGATGATGCTGAGCAGAGTTGCTGATACAGAGAATGCTTCTTATACAAGCCACTGGTACAAGCCACTGATACAAAACACTGATACAAAACACTGATACTACAGAGGATGCTGCTGATAAAAAGTCTGCTGATACTACAAGCTGCTGATACTGTATCCATTGATACAGAGGAACAAGGTTGTTGATACAGAGGAGCTGCTTATATGAGTCTCTGATATGGAGGAGGACACTGATACCAGCCTTTGATCATACATAGAATGCTGACATGGAGGATGCTCCAGATAGTACAGATGTCAAAACCTATCACATGCCTTACTAGCATCCCTATTTTAAATATTCTGTACCCCACTTTTTTGGCACACTCCACTTCTTCAATTCACTTCACAAGAATGATTGTATTTCTAGCAACAGTAATCATGTTTTGGGAACAGGGAGGAGGAAGCAGCTGAAGGAAACAGGTCGCGAGTGGTTGTTACAATGCCATGGCATATAAAGAAGGCACCAATCTTATTGATATCTGATTGTGAAACATTTCAGCCTTTTCCTAATGTTCAACCATTCCAACACTAGCAACTCCTTGGTAGTAGTAATGGCAACATTGGCAATGCTCAATATACATATACATATATCAATAAAGACCACTAGGACCCCTGACTCAAATCTCTTTAAATTGGCTTTTGATTCATGTGCTTACCATAATCAAGCCTCCCTTGGGGACATATTGCTGTTGGAGTGAGTTGTTGTGGAATCATTTAACAAGAAGTTTTTCAGTGCTGATGGGTATAGAACGGACAAAGAAGAGCTCCTTGGTGGCAGGAAACAGAACAACAAGGAGGAAGAACAAGAGCGCTCTGGCATATTCCCTGGCAACAACAGCTACACAAGGAAAACTGAGAACACTGACACCAACAAAGGAAAGGTCCTCCATCATGAAAAAGTGCATTGGTGGTACACAACCAGAGGATGAGGAGCTTCTTCTAACAACTACTACAACTGCTTGTCCCCCTCTACTAGGAGGAGCTTCAAATTATAAAATTCATAATGATATCTTTCTTGTTATTGTCAAGAATTACCTCCATCATGTGTCTGTTTATTGTGCAAATTACCATGTGCTTCTTCATAATGCAAAAAGTAATTCTACTCAACCTGACTTCAGGGATTTTCTGGATTTTCTGCTGTTGGGAGGGTTGATGCCTGTAGTAGGAATCAAAACTATGTAAATGCGCATACAATTGTACATGTTTTCCTACTGTTGCATTTTCAGTTGCATTAGTACGTCCTACAGTAATACAATACAGTACGTACCTGCACAGTAGCATAACAAGAATGACCCAATTTTCCCTCCAAAATAACCTTGCGTGCCAAACACATGACTGTTCACAGCTTTGCCATCTGCCTACCATACCTTACCACGGGGTGCGGGTCATAATTTAGAGGGGTGCACATCGCGTCAAAACTCATATTCCTTGTGTGTCCAAAATTGGAAAATGTCACCCCAGGATGTTCTTTTGAAAACTTCATTTGTACTGCATATCGCTGCAAAAAGTGTACCTGAAAGACCCCATGCACAGGAACACTTCCAATCACTCTCTGATTTTCAAAGTTCACATGCACATCTCTCATATAGTACTTGAGAGTCAAGTAGTAAGTGTTTGTCGGGTGTTATTGTTCTTGTCTGCAGTTCAAACTTTAAGGTGCTGACACAGGGCTGGTGGTAGTAACAGACTAGTACTGTATTTGCAGTAGAAATAGTCTGTCCTTTGTCTAGTCAGTCCCACCAGTCTAGTCCTTAGCAAAAAATTGGACTGTCTGTCCTTCATCCATTTCTCCCACTAATTTACCAGTAGTAGTAATTTATACTGCTGGTGATAATGATCTACTACGTCACACAAACCTGTACTATGGTTTTTTT